AGAACATAGTCCTCTTGTGCAGAATCAATGCATTTCAAGAGAGGTACCGAGAAACCCCTGCGGTATAGTTGTCCACCAATGACCGAATACCTGGCTGCTTGTGTTCAGAGTTTTTTGGCGGCCGAAGGATCAGATGGCTCTTTTCCAAATTCAAGGTAATCCATTATTTCGGTGATCCAAGTTTGGGTAGGCTTTTCGGTCGTCAAACATTCAATCGGTGTTATGCTTGGAGTGGCGAGGTCAAGGTGGAGTGTAGTTCTTAGTTGTCCCAGTTTTCGGCTGCTGCTAGCCAACTGAGCTAGTTGATCGGCTCTTTCGTTGTGTTCCCTCGGCATATGTTTTACTTGTACCTCATCGAAGGTGTCATGCATCCTCCGAAACAAGTGATAATATTTCAGCAGGTTGGGGTCTTTTACCTGAAAATTGTCGTTGACTTGTTCCGATACAACTTTCGAGTCAGTCCAGCATACCACTCGCCGAGCTCCGATTTCTTGCGCAAGTCTCAAACCGGCCAGCAATGCCTCGTACTCGGCCTGGTTATTTGAGGTTTTGAATGCAAATCGTAAAGATTGCTCGAGTATTAGCCCAGTTGGTGCTTGCAGGATTATTCCTGCTCCACTGCCTTGGTTGTTCGAAGAACCATCAACATGCATCGTCCATAAGTCACTGACGAAATCTCCTTGTGGCTGCAACTCATTGACAAAATCTGCTAGGTATTGTGCTTTAATCGGTCTCTGTGGTTCAAATGACAAGTCAAGCTCTGAAAGTTCGATTGTCCATGCCATCATGCGTCCGGCTAGTTCAGGTTTGCGCAAAACCTTGGCGATAGGGCAATCGGTACGAACTATTACGCGGTTGCTCTGAAAATATTGTTGAAGGCGCCAGGCCGTGTGTACTAGCCCGAGCGCTACTTTTTCAAGAAGTTGATACCTTGTTTCGGCATCTTGGAGCATCCTACTGATGAAGTACACAGGCTGCTGTACTTCCTTTTCTTGCACTAACACAACACTGATTGCTTCGTCCGACACACACAAATATATAACTATGTTTGCCCGGGGATCGGGTTTTGAGAGGATTGGAGGAGAGCTGAGGCGTTGCTTTAACGTCTGAAACGCTTCTTCACAATTAGTCGACCATTCGAACTTCTTCACTTTTTTTAGCAGCCTAATGATAGGCTTTGCCGTTTCAGCTAGGCATGGCAGGAATCTTGACAAGGACGTGAGCCGTCCGGCTAACCGTTGCACCTCTTTAAGGTTTTGGGGGCTTCTCATACCGACGATTGCTTGCCATTTGTCAGGATTGGCCTCAATGCCTCTAGCCGATAGCATGAAGCCGAGAAACTTACCCCCGGAAACGCCGAATACACACTTTTCTGAATTCAATCGCATGTCATGTCTACGAAGTTGTTGAAATACTTCTGCAAGGTCAGATAGGTGCCGATCAAGGTCTTCGGATTTGACGACCATGTCATCTACATATACTTTCATATTTTTCCCAATCTGGTTCTGAAACACCTTATTCATCAACCTTTGATATGTGGCTCCAGCGTTCTTCAATCCGAAAGGCATCACCTGATAGCAAAAATTGGCCGAATCGGTGATAAAAGCTGTTTTTTCCTCATCGCCGGGGTGCATGCGTATTTGATTGTATCTGGAATACGCGTCAAGAAAAGTGAGGAATTTATGCCCTGATGCTCCGTCAACTAACCGGTCAATATTTGGTAATGGATAAGCATCCTTGGGGCATGCTTTGTTGAGATTAGTGTAGTCGGTACACATTCTCCATTTACCGTTCGGCTTCCTTACCATGACCACATTTGTCAGCCATGTCGTATACTGTACTTCCCGAGTGAATCTTGCCTCAATCAACTTGGCTACTTCGGCTTCGACTGCTAGTTTCCTATCGGTCCCCATCTTTCGCTTGCGCTGAGCTATAGGTCTAAAAGCAGGAGTATAAAGAATGGAATTGCATTTCATTAATGGGTGCCTCGTTAAAAACTTTGTCGGCCAAAACCCCTTTTCACTTTTTTTATAGGGGAAAAAAGACCGATTCAAGGAAAAGAGTGCACCTTGCATGTACATTGATGATTTCGAGAGAAAATGTTTTGTTAAAAAAAATGGTATTGGTTTTGTTTAAAAAAATGGTATTGGATTTTAATTTGAATTATTATAACTTATGAGCCTCAACAACTTAGTCTAGTTTCCGAACCATACACGTGTGTATCCTTTTATTCCATTTTTTATTCAAATTTTTCTTCGTAGATTTTTCTTTTCTCTCTCCTTCCTCCTTTTCCAGGCACGCATCATGAGACTCCAAACTTGTTTGTACATAAATTATGAGACTCCAACATTAAGTTTGGGGTTACATATTACACCAGAGGCGTACTAGCTAGAATTATGCTATTATGACAGTGATTCTGTTCATGACATAATAATTTAGTATTCTCTCTCTCTCTCTTTTTTTTTTCTTTCTTTTTTTTCCTTTTTTCTTTTTAGTATTATCAGAGATTAAAAGCTCAAATTAAATTCCTCTAAAACAAAATGAAACAGCAAAAATATCTGCAAGTAAGCTAAATTGAATAAATGGAGGAAGGCGATCAAAACATGAAAACCATCCTCTAATTCTAAACCTCTCTTAATAACCAATGAATCAGCTACCTAGTCTTCGATTTCTTATACAAAGTGATAGTATCTAAAATCATACATCTAATAAAGTGGTTTAGTTATGAAACACTGTCTAAGGCTTGTCCTCTGTTTACTAGTTTTTTTTTAGTTGTTTTGTTGTTGTGAATTAATAATATCTTACAATAAATAGTCTAAGGCTATTTATTTTTTCTTTTTTGAAGTGTAGTGATTATCCGAGTGAGTTTTATTTCTCTTGATAAAGCCTTTTTTTTATGTACGTTCATAAAATCGAACTCTTAATAAAATACATAAGAAACTTAGCTAATTATTTAGTAATGTGTTGGATTTTATTAGTGTGGAAAATCTTTTCTAGTTCAATGGATTTGATCCATAAACATTCACGCTACAAAAGTATTGTAAAGGAAAAAAAAATTTCAGAAGACAAAAATACACCTAAATAAACCCGTGTATAAAAAACCAGTGGGACGTCCATTCTAACAAAACTATATAATACATATTAAAGAAAATAATATGTTGAATTTGTGTAATCAAAAACAAAAGCAAGCATACTTGTTTTGACGAGATATTTTGTTTGATAGCAAAGTCAAGTCAATATAGTCCACAATACCCTTTATCATCTATACACGAATTAAGTTTCCAACATATTTTAAGAAGGGCATTTTTGTGAATTCAAACTTTTCGTAGCCATATTCCTTGCCAACTACTTAAAGATATGCCAAAGTCACAAAATATAAATACCATAGATTAAAATAATTGTAATGAAATGATTATAGTGCCACCGACAGATTTGTGAGAGGAACAACGAGATGCACAGAATACAGGCAATGGAAAGGAAGCAAAATATGGCCTTATGGTCACAGTCTTAATACTTTTTTCCAAAAAATGCCTCTCTCTACCATACTATTGAGGGATACACGAAACCAAACTCATTTAATAATGTGACCAAAATCATTGTTAATTATACATTAATGGATTCTTCTACCACGTCCCCTACCGAATACTGATTATAGAATTACGTTCCTAATAATCACTTCCACTTGTCCTTTATGAGCCAAATCTATACTCTATATAGTCAATTCATTTTTTTATGACTTTATTAGTGCAAGGTAATGGTGACATAGCCACTCTAAATTTCACACTCGTTTCTTCATGGCATATGTACATTGTTATCTTCACTAAAATGTGGTTGAGTGGCAATATCATCCATATCATATTGTAATTAAGTAGTAACTTTCAGATAATAGAACTTTGCAACTGAATCCATGCAAAATTATATGAGCAATGAGGTTAACATTCTTAGTGCTTAATTAATAAACGGGGGCATTATTTCTCCATCAATCAAATTATTATTACCTCTTTTCAACCACAAAGTGATGAGAGGATAAAAGTGAAGACCAAGTAAAGAAAGCTTCAAGAAACAGACTAACAGCCCTCCGGTAGGGGATAGGTCTCCCTCTATACATAGAACACTTGTCCTTTCTATTATCAATATAAAAAAAGTGGGGAAAGGAGTATGAATCCCCCTATTTTTATTTTCAAACGTCTCCACCAAATATCTAATGAACTTTCCTTCCAAATTCCAATTATTGTTATTTTTCTCTTCTTTTATGTCCCTTCCAATTTATCCCTACAAAAAAATAAGATGAACCCCCACATGTACAAAAGTCTGTCGAAGCATTTTCAGCAAAAATGTTTTGCATTCTTAATTCCAAATGTATTTTCTCTAGAGTTTTATTAGCATTTTTATTTCTCGGAATGTATATAGTCTCTAGAGGACAGAAACAGCTCAGCTAAAACCTGAACAAAATTAGCACATGTGGAACGAACCCTAGGCCAAGTGGGAACCACCACTCTTAACTCACAAGACTGTAATATCTCGTTTATTTTGCTTCGCTGCATCTATTCCATGGTATAGTCAATAGACCTAAATCCTGATCCATAATTCATATTAACTTATTCTCTGCGTGCTAATTGCGAAATAGCAGCACATCTAATAACTAATTAATTCTCACTATCAAAGTAGGAATAAAAGGTCTTGATTCTACAACTCATGCAGAAGGTGAAAAGTAAATGCAGTGACAGTAAAATAATAATTGACAATAATGAAAGTGGGTTTAGTTTATCAATCTTTCATTAATTAACGTGCCAGGTAGCAGTTGGGGTTTCTCACTGTTCCTTCGCCCACACCCAATGAAAAGCCTCCACGTAAGCGAACAAATTTTCACAAAGCAACCGACACCCTTGGATTTACCCACAGTTAACTCCCCACTCACTACTAACACATAAGAAGTCACAGACACAACATAACATAAACACATGTACAAGTGTCTCTCACTCTT